TAGCTGTTCCACAAATTTTGCATTCTAAGTATCAATGTTCAGCTATCCTTATTTAATTTTGCTTCATTTTGGCTTGTTCTTGAAAAGAATACTAGAAAGTTTTAGAAACTCGTGGAGATAAAACCAAACGTTTATTTAATAATATAGCTGGGCTCGAGATGAGATACAATGAAGGAGGAAAGCTCCTTATATAGAAGAGAAGATCCTTCATGCATATCACTCATCACAATAATACAACTTACACAAAAATAATAATTTTACAATAAGACAAATGACTCATCACTACTTTTAACTAGATTAAAAGAACCTCGAAAAAACTCTGCAATGAAAGAGAGTTTTGAAAAGATATCATTACAACAGCAATCATCGTCGTCGTCATCCTAATCAGTAGGAATAATGGGTCATCATTTGTCGGGGGTGGAGTATATTCGACATAATAGTCAAATTTTCCAAAGTTACAAGCATATTTATGTCATCTTGTCAAGTTCTTTGAAGTTCTACAGAAATTTAATGAGGTATAATGAAAATCATACCTGTGCTGTGCTAACTTAAATAAGAGTTAACCTGCTGTAATATTTCCATAAAGGTCCCTACTTAATTCTCGGAAGAACAGTGATGTAGTCATTGATTCTTGATCTTTGTGTGCCAAAGCCCTGTTTGGAGTAACTTTGTTTACCTGTAGACATATTACCTGACGACCGATTAAACTGAATGGAATACTTGCGACTCGACTTTGAACTTTCAATCATTCAATTGTTGAGTTCTATTCTTTTTGAAACAAAGGCAGCTCATTTAGTAGAAAACCAAACTGAAATCAAGTAGCTAGACTATGAACTTTCAAACATTCATTTAGAAACGACAACAGCTCCTGTTTATTTCAAGAAAGTGGTGAGGATATGGGTTTTTTATAATGGGCTCATCATAAGCAGTTCAAGAAAGGAAAAGTTTTTGATTCTATACATGAAAGGGGGATAATGCTTGTGGATTCGTTAAATAACAACATAGGCTCAGGGGATTGGATACACTTGAATAATAAATGGGAAGACTTGCATTCTTTGAAAGTAGCAGAGGAAGAAGGATGAAGTAGAGTTATTTATGTCTGTCTAAATTTACTTTGCAGTTTTGGGTAGATGAAGATCACAATAGACTGCAATGGATTGTTGAAATATGGGAAAACAGTTTTTCGTCTAACCCGTGCTTACATTGGAGGAAGCATCGACTAGATCTTATGTATTATGCGTTATGTGAAACAAAGATTGCTAAGACGGTTCGACTTGAAACTGTATTTTTTGTTCACTTCTTCGCGGATGTTGGACGAGAAAAGTTTATTGAATTATTTATGATACTAGTCTATGTTACGTGCGATGCACGAATTGTGCATGAATTATGATTTGGTTAGCGTATGTGTTGAATATGTTTGAAAATATATTGGAAGATGGAATTATTGGCAAGGAACTAACCAGTGAATAATTGAGATAACAGTATACATATTGATGCGTTTGATTGTGATTTGTAAATTTGTAAATTCATCGTAATTAATCATGTGTTTGTATTACAGTCAATGATAGATAAGAGAGAATAAAAATTAACTTCATTACCATCATTAATTACAGCGTATGGCCAAGATAAAAAAAATAATGACTGGTTTTCGAGGTGGATGATGTAGGGATTACATATATATCATTTGTCATTACTTTTTTTGTTTTGCAGTTTTTGATCAGAAAATTATACATACTTAACAAAATAGAAGTTCAAGATCAAATTTACAATGAAAACAAATTTCACAAATCAAAATAGCAAAAAATTTACAAAACCACACGGCACTCTTGTCAAAAGGTTGGTTTTACTTTCCACTACCATTTATTCCAATTTTTCTTTTTGAGCAAGTGGATTTGAGTCTGAACTTATGTTTTTATCACAAGCCATTTTTGAGCTGGAACTCTCATTGGAAGATTTGAAAAGGGTTTTTTTCGCTGGATGTGACGAATCTTCTTGATAGTCTGTACTAATGTTTTTCCCAACATTTTTCCCAACTGTTGTAACCACAACTTGACTGTCAACAACGTTTGTTTGGATTTTTGGTTCAAGACTTGCATGATCAATATTTGCTTGAATTTCTTGTCCTGGACTTGGATTGTCAAAGTCTGTTACAGAGATGATATCAAATCTGTAACTTGATGAATTAGGTTCATTTTGGGATGCTTTCAAGTAGAAAGCTCGTTCAGTATTCTGCATTTTTTTAATGGTTGCTTCCAAATTTGTCTTTGAACCCTGTGTTAATTTTAAATTGTATTAATATTATTCTACTAAAATATGTACTGAATGACAAAATGTTTGAGACAAGTTAGATTTCTTACAAATTTGGTTTCCTCCATCAAAGACTTTGAAGTTGTAAATAATAGTTTCTCAGCTGGTTCACCAATTGCATTTGCATTGGTTGATCCCGTGACATCTGAAAGCTGCACATATGCTCTAGCCCTAAAGTGAAAAAGAAATTAGTATTAATAGATGCAAGAGTAATACAGAGAAGTAGAAAGGTATAAAAAATGAAAAGTAATTAATCGTTAGTGTATTTTACCTAGGAATAACTTTGGAATTGGGATTTTTGCAAAAAATACAAAGATATGTTCTCCAAAATCAACATTCGACCGTCTAAAACAGTTATTGCAAGCCATGTACCAAGATTTGCTATCAATTTTATCTATTGTTGCTGTGCCATTTACCCAATAAAACTTTCGCTGTTACAGTATGGATATACTTAGAGAAATTACAAGGAAAAATAAATAATATGATTGAGTGTACATTGTAATATATATCTCTATATTAGGAAAAAAAATACAGATTGAATAGCACATGTAACCTTAATATTACCGCTAGAAGGCGTCCCTGAAGATTTTGAATAGGAGTGAATTTACTTCATACAAGTAGAGAAAGATTCGTGGGGCTCTTGTCCATGTATGATTTTTTGAAAACAAAATCATCTATTTTAATGAAATTTGTTCTTAATTTTAATGAAATTTGTTCTTACCCTAATCAAAAGACATGAAAATAATTAGTAACTCCAATAGTAATGTGTGGAAAAATAATTGAGAGAGAGAAAAAAAAGAATAATAAAATATAACACTTTTCACATACCATTCTGTCATTTGTTTTACTGCATTGAAAGGCGTATTTATAAAGAAAGTGGAATGGACTTTCGTGAACAATTTTAAACCTATATAATATCAATATGGAGAATGTGTAAATGATGTAATATATACCTTAAGAGAAGTTGAAATAATACAATAGAACATACCAAAGAATGATGTAACCTTTAGACGGGTTGCGAAGATGACTGACTTTTTGTCAATAATGTCTGCTATCAGTAAGCATTCTCTGTCAACAAATGAAGCCCAAAGTGTAAGCACCATTGTTTTGAAATTCATGTCTAGAAGTATGATATCTTGCAACCAAGTTTGGTTGCCATCTTTGGATTGAATCAATCGTTTGGGTGTCATATCAACTGCAACTGCAAGTATATCTGCAAATTTGAAATAAGCCATCAATTTTTTTTTTTTAACATAAGCAGTACGAATTTGAAGGAAACTATATTTCTGTAGAATTAATATATGATTATTTAATATCTATGAAATTTTGTCTTACTTAAATCAGCATCTGTATCCATGTATTGTTCGAGTTCGTGAAGTTGTGTCAGTTGATATGTTGAGAATACAAACTCTAGATTATCTTCATTCAATTCTTCAATACGAGTTTCTCCAAATATTGTCCATTTTAGAGAGCCGGTCGAATATCTGTAGTTTGTCGTATTGTTCTTCACGTAAGCTTTCGAAATAGTATAAGTTTTTCTCAGAACAAGTTGATCCTCAAAAGCAATGATATTGAAATTATATAAGTTTGCCTGAATAGTATTACCCTGAAAAATCATGAGGAACCATATAAATAACTGTAATATATGTGATCTTAGATTAAGAACAAACACAAAACAAAAAACAAAAAGAAATGAAGAAAAAATGTACGAAGAAGAGTTACATGAGTATCCATTAACATCAAATGTTGGTACCTTTCATTGCCTTGTCTCGAAAGCTTTGGTGATTGTTTTTCAACTACAATCACTTTAGCTTTCCACTTTTGATTGTTGGAAATAATTTCTGGCAGAAGTTGGTATTGTTCTTCCATAGTGGCAATTTCATAACAATTTCATAACAGATTAATAGAAGCAAAATACACACAAAAGAAAGATTTCTATGGCAATGATTTTGAGATATCCAATTGACAAATAAAAGAAGATATATATAGACATGTAAAATTATATCATATTTGGTTTCCCGTACTTTATCTTCTATTCTTAATTTTATTTTTTTATAAAAAGTAATACAAGTATGTACTAAGTAATATCTTATTATTAGTCATATACTGTCATAAGTTTTGTCTACATGAGATATGGAGATTACTTGTAATATTCATTTATTGATAGTACATAAATAAAACTTGAGTTCAAGGATTTACACTTAGAGCATACATAAAACTATATTTTATTGGTTCTCCCTATTACAAATATAATAAAAGGACGTCAAAATTTGGATTAGAAAAGGAAAAAGATCAAGATTTACACGGTAAAATCTTATCATACCCATACTCTATTGATTTATTTGGATTTAAAAAGGAAAAAGATCAAGATTTACACGGTAAAATATTATGATACTCACACTCTATTGATTTATAATGACTGAACATAAACATGGGCTGACAAAGGTTTAAACATGGTACAAGAATGACTCTGAATTAAATTAAGTTGTATTCACCCTGAAAAAAGTATTCATGCTACAAACCTTCATTGTAATGGAAGGAAAATTTGATTCAGTTATTTATTTAGCTTAAATAAATTGAATTGTAATAAATATCTAATTACACGCGAATACGTTGATGTATGATTTTGTGTATGAAATTAAAGAATTCAAACAAAGACGTATATTTGAGATTTTATAAAAGGTGTGAATAGTTTGTATTTCATAACACAACAAAACTACTTCATTGATTGTTGACCAAATGCATAAAACAACAATAATATACAGCTCATATGTGACAGCCTTTTATCTCGTGGTTGTTCTATGCTCATTTATTATACTTTTAGTCCCAAAAATCTCTACATTTTCAAGAGAGAAACTCCCCGCATATTTAAATTGGAGAAGCTCTGAAATTGGCCGAAAAAGGTAACAATTTTACTTAAAAATTTACAATTGAAGAAACTTGCATATATCTGCACAGATCTGTGTATGGGCAACAATTTTACCCATAAGAACTCCGTGATTATGGAGACCCATGCCTTAATGGGTCTCCATTATTACGGAGACCATAACAAGGCCTCCGTAATCACAGAGGCCTTGTTGAGGCCTCCATCATACATAGGCGTTGGCCTCCGTAAATATGGAGGCAAGCCTCCGTATTACGGAGGCCAGGCTGCTAGCCTTCGTAATCCGGAGGCTTGGCCTCCATAATCACAGAGGCCTTGCCTCCGTGATTTTTAGATTCATTCATAAATGTTTCTCTATTTTTAATTTTTAGATTCATTCATAAATAAGATGTTATTTTTGGAATAATTTATGTAGATGTCTTTAGAATACATAATTTCTTCGGATCAATGATTTTCTGCTACAATTGTCCAATATCCAAATTTCGAATATCTTAAAGACTTTGTAAAATTTTTAGATTCGAATGAGCAATTTTCGTTGATCTGTAGTAATTTTTATGGATTTCTTTATGGAGCTTTCTACAAAGGAAAAAATGTACAATTTAATAGTAGGTTGGTGCATGAATTTATATTGAGGCTTGTTAATTGTGGGAAAAATGATGAAATTTGGGTAAGGTTAGCCGATCGTGTAGCCAGATTTGGTATGCAAGAATTTTGTCTTATTACTGGATTACCTTGCTATGAACCATCCATGGACATTAATGATGCAAATGATCATCTTAGAAATCGATACTTTAATGGTACATATCGAATCAGTATGAAGATGCTTCATGAAGCATTCCATGCGTGGGATCATGAAGAAGATAAATTGAAGCTTGGTTTAGCCATGTTGATCGAATGTGTGTTGACACCCACTTCAAGACAAATTGATTATAGAACTCTTGGTATGATTGAGCATCTGGATGAGTTCATTGCATATCCATGGGTAGCAAAGCATATTTGATCTTGTTATATTCATTGAAAGCATCACAATCTGAAAGAATACAAAGGTTGCAACGGATTGAACAAACATAATGCAAGTACGCGTTACATGGATATCCATTTGCGTTCCAGGTAATTAGTCCCTATTCTTGTATTGATTTATTATGTACAATATTCCCATAAATTTTTTTTATACATATAATGTTTATTTTTTATTATTTTGCAGTATTGGATATATGAAGTATTTCCAAAGATTGGAAAGAAATTTGGACATCGTAGACATAAAAAACCACAGTGTCCAAGAATATACAACTGGAAACCCAACCAATTTGTAACTGAAAAAGAGACAAAACTTTTTTTGTCTACTCGTCAGGTATGTTTTTATGAATGTACAATTACTTTCACATTCAATTATCTTAAAATAAAATTAAACTCAAAATAAATGATTTTGATATTTCAATTTGATTACAGATTCAAGTGATTGCTATGCTACAGCCTAATGAAGAAGAATTACAAAGTCTTTGGTACGAAACTCTTTCATTGTCAGTGGATAATGGACACAGCAGATTAGATGAGATTGTAAATGGAGTATTGGATAATGCAGTAGAACAAATCAATATACATGTGCAAGAAACGACGATTCCCAGTACTTCTACATCTTCACCTGCATTTGGGTCTAACTCTATTCCCAGTAGCTCCAACTCCTTAAATGAAGATAAAATGGAAGAATTGTTGGGTATCTACATGCAACACATAGCATCAGACATGTCTGGTGTAAATAGCAACTTGAAGGCAGTATTTGTTGATGAATCAAGAGCTCACCACCATGCGGTTCTTGAAAACCAAAAACAGTTATTTGAGGAGCAAAAAAATAGCAAGAAGATTACATGCAACATCATAATCAGATAATTCTTAACAACCAAAGGCAATTTTTTGAACAGCAACAGAAGTGGCAGGAAGAGAGATATCAGGGTATGCAATCTTATATTGATACCAGTTTAAGTTCAATTAGATCCTATGTTGATGAACAAAATCAGGAAACACTGAACACGTTATCTGAATGGAAATCAAACATGGAAGCCATCATAGGTTCCACGCAACAAGATGTCCCTCTCGATACAAGTGTTGTTCCTTGCAATAAACCAAATGAGATATCAACAGCTGAACAAATTGAGAGCTCTAAAAGGTCGATAAAAGATAAGAAAAACAAGGGGAAACAAATACAGTCTTCATCATCTTCAGATCGTCCTCTAGAAGACTATCTTATGCAAAGATACATAAAAATTAGAAATTTTATAGCGGAGAATCAATCTAGGTAATAGATCTAATTTTATTTGTATTAGCTCAAATCTTCAAGTTCTCTTTTGATTTATTTGGAATTAATTAAAATAATGTCATACAGTGCATACTTGGACGATGGCTGTAACAATATCTTTAGAAGAGACATGTTGAAAACTCTAATGGATCAAATACATGACATAAATATTGCTCTAAGTAAAGTCTATGAATTACAATAGATTTTATTTCATAGTCGATATATTTAATCTAATTTATATCTATTTATTTTATCAAAACATTGAGCTAGAGTTAAAACTATTGAGGCGGTTCATGAATGATGGTTGTCCGCTTGTTTCAAAAGAATATGCAATTATGGATTTCAAATTTGAAGCAGAATGTGCTCGTCAAATGATATGACATTCTGACACAGGAATGGGAACCACAAGAGGTGAAGCAGATGGAACTCTTATACAAAATTATATGAATGGCAACACACCTATATTTGGTCATCCTTGGAGGACATGCAAGTATATATTAATTCCGTGCTCATATCCGGGCAATAGCTGGTACCTTTTCGTTGTCAATATTCCTGAATGGAAATTTCAAATATATAATTGCAGCAATAACGTCCACACACCGAATCAAATAAAAGCACATGTAAAAGCTTCATTGACTGTGGTAAAAACACTATTGAAAACAACTTCATCTTCTAGAGGAGATATAAGGAAACATAGAAATAAACAAATGAAAGAGGAGATTATACCTTACCTAAACTGTGCAAACAATGGGTAAGCATTTAAGTGGCTTGTTTTTTAGCAGAATATTTAATTTCCTAAACTTAGTCATTTATTCTAACACTAAACTATTTTTTCCACGTGCCCAATTGTGGAATTTTCGTACTCAAATGTATAGAATGCTTTGTTTTGGGATATTCAATTGAATCAGTTTCGTCGGATAGGATGAGCATATATAGACGAAAGATTGCGGTAGATATCTGTAATAACGAATGCTTTCTTCATCCCCGTAAGCCCTAATTGTAGCAGATAATCAGAATATACTGATTGAAATATTATGTGATAAACTTGTGTTTTTTATCCTTTCTTTTCGTATCTTATCAGTGACCCAAATAAATAAAGATATGTTGAACGTGAAATATTATGAAGGACATGTTTAAAGATAACGACCTGACCCTTTTATATGCACCATGTTTCATACTAACAAGTAAAGTATAATTGAAACGCATAATAACATGTAAAAATAACTAATCTTGTATAGCTCAATGTTATTCTCCTTGACACAAGATGGATTAGCAGAGAAAATATCCTCTTTTAGGCTAACAATACATTGGCAGTCCAATTAAACAAAACTTGTAATTATAGACTTCTTAAGTTGTATGTATCAAATTCAAAATTTCAAGGTAGACTACATTTTTTGTGCAACAATTGTGTGATTTTATTTCATCCATTGGCTTTATTAGAATTTTTATGTTTTCTCTTGTTCTTGCTCTAGATAAAGCGACATATAATTGACCATGCGAGAAAACGGGTTCAGGCAAATATAGTCCAACGAAATCTAAAGTTTGACCTTGAGCTTTGTTAATGGTCATTGCAAAACAAGGATGAATGGGAAATTGAGTTCTCTTAAATGGTACCGAATACTTATCTCCTTCAAGTGGAATAAATGGAATTCTAGGTAAAAATACTTGTTTTCCATGATATTCACCTATTCC